CAGGAAGAGAGGATGGACGCCATTCATACCAGTCCCAAGAAGTCCTGTGAAGATGCTGTGATGTGGATGGCCTCAGCCGTCGCACTGGCCATGCCCTCTGATGTTTCACCACACCCATAGGGGGCTTGGTCACAAACGTCAAGCCCCCTGGGTGTGGCCAGAGTGACGGCTGAGGCCATCCACCTCCCAACATTTTCACAGGACTCCTAGGGACAAGTACTGTTTAAGGGACTGTAATGGTGCCAGCAATAAACCAAATGTATATAACTGTTACAATTACAGCATTTTATTGTGATTTACAGTAAAAACATCACACACTCACCCGCCGCTTTATTAGGTACACCTTGCTAGTGCCAAGAATATATCCCCCACACCATTACACCACCATCACCAGCCTGAACTGTTGATACAAGGCAGGATGGATCGATGTTGTTTACACCAAATTCTGTCATTATCATCTGAATGTTGCAGCAACCAGTCTGCCCATTCTCCTCTGACCTTAACAAGGTATTTTCGTCCACAAAACTGCCGCTCTCTGGATATTTTCTCTTTTTCAGACCTTTCTCTGTAAAGCCTAGAGATGGTTGTGCATGAAAATCCCAGCAGATCAGCAGTTTTGGAAATACTCAGACTGGCACCAACCACCATGTCACGTTCAAAGTCGCTTAAATCCCCTCTCTTCCCCATTCTGATGCTTGGTTTGAACTTCAGCAAGTCATCTTCACCACATCTACATGCTTAAATGCATTGCGTTGCTGCTATGTGATTGGCTGTTTAGCATTTTGTGTTACCAAACAGGAACAATTAAGTACTGTCCGTGATACTTTTTTTATTTGCACTAACATACAATTTTGAGGACAAGCTTTTGGGGAATGTCCCCTTCTTCAGGTCTAAGCAGTATTGAAACAAAGATTTAGCAGAATGTTGGAAGAGATGTAGGGGATGGGAAAAAGAAATTGAACAGGTCTACCTAATAAAGTGGCCGGTGATTGTACATAAAAAGCATATTTCAGCTGAAAAAATGTAATACATAAGGTAAATTAAAGGATCAATCACTTGAGCTACATCACCTCAGGTATTCTTTTCTACATGTTTTACCTGGTTTGGCTTCATCAGGAAATTTTATTATATTAAAGAAAAATAAATAAGACTCAGAAGCACACTTATATACTCCATTTCTTGAGACTAGACTGCAGGTACATTCTCACCATAAATGAGTAGCCACTCCTACAGTGAAAGAAATAAGTATTTGATCCCCTGCTGATTTTGAATATTTGCCCACTCACAAAGAAACGATCAGTCTAAAAATCGAATGGTAGGTCTATTGTAACACTGAGAGACAGAATAGCAACAAAAAATGCAAAAGAAATGCATGTCTAACATATTATGCACTGATTTGCATGTTCATGAGGGAAATAAGTATTTGATCCCCTATCATTCAGCAGGATTTCTGGCTACCAGGTGTCTTTCATACAGGTAACAAGCTGAGTCTCTTAAAGGGAGTACTGCTAATCTCATTTTGTTACCTGTATAAAAGACACCTGTCTACAGGAGCAATCAAACAATCAGATTCCAAACTCTCCACCATGGCAAAGAGCAGAGAGCTGTCCAAGGATGTCAGGGACAAGATTGTAGACCTACACAAGGCTGGGCTACCAAACTATCATCAAGCAGCTTGGTGAGAAGGTGACAACAATTGATGAAATCATTCGCAAATGGAAGAAACACAAAACAACTGTCAGTCTCCCTATGTCTGGTGCACCATGAAAGATCTCACCTCGTGGAGTGTCAATGATCATGAGAACGGTGAGGAATTATCCCAGAACTACACGTGAGGATTTTGTCAATTATCTCCAGGCAGCTGGGACCACAATCACCAAGAAAACAATTAGTAACACACTACACCGACAAGGATTGAAATCCTGCAGTGCCCGCTAGGTCCCTCTGCTCAAGAAAGCACATGTCCAGGCCCGTCTGACATTTGCCACTGAACATCTGAATGATGCAGAGGAGGACTGGTTGAAAGTGTTGTGGTCAGATGAGACCAAAATCGAGCTCTTTGGCATCAACTCAACTCGCTGTGTTTGGAGGTGGAGGAATACTGCCTATGACCCCAAGAACACCATCCCAACTGTCAAACATGGTGGTGGAAACATTCTGCTTTGGGGGTGTTTTTCTGCTAAGGGGACAGGACAACTGCAGCGCATCAAAGGGACGATGGACGGGGCAATGTACCGTCAAATCTTGGGTGAGAACCTTCTTCCCTAAGCCAGGACATTGAAAATGGGTGGATGGGTGTTCCAGGATGACAATGACCCAAAACACATGGCCAAGGCAACAAAGGAGTGGCTCAAGAAGAAGCACATTAAGGTCCTGGAGTGGCCTAGCCAGTCTTCAGGCCTTAATCCGATTGAAAATCTGTGGAGGTGGCTGAAAGTTCGAGTTGCTAAACATCAGCCACCAAACCTTAATGACTTGGAGAGGATCTGCCAAGAGCAGTGGGCCATAATCCCTCCTGAGATGTGTGCAAACCTGGTGGCCAACTACAGGAATAGCCTGACCTCTGTGATTGACAACAAGGGATTTTCCACCAAGTACTAAGTCATGTTTTGTGAAGGGGATCAAATACTTTCCCTCTTGAACATGCAAATCAGTGCATCATTTGTTAGACATACATTTCATTTAAATTTTTTGTTGCTATTCTGTCTCTCGGTGTTACAATACACCTACCATTCGATTTTTAGACTGATCATTTATTTGTGAGTGGGCAAACATTCAAAATCAGCAGGAGATCAAATACTTTTTTTCCTTCACTGTACCTAGAAAAGTGCACAAGGATGGATTTCACCCGAAGAGGATGGTAAGTAAATAAAAATTCACAAGTGCATCCCAGAGGATAAACCCTGGGTAAGATAGTGAGTTGCAGAGGAGGCACAATAACATAAAGAATAATGTTCTAAAAAGTATCATGTATATAAATCCATCATGCAAACAAATCTGGCATCTGTAAAATTGCACCAGCATTTTCTGCATTGTATATAATCTGTTACATAATCCTCACCGCTCTGTATGCTTGAAGTGTAACATTGTGTGCATAAAGTGCACTTTGGTATACAGAGCTCTGCAGTGAGAAGTATGTAATGTATAGCACAGTTCACAGAGTGCAATGGTTAGGAGTATGTGGAATAACTGCAGAGAGGACTTTTGGACAGGGGGTGCAAAGGTGAACTGTGGATGGGAGGTGTAGAGGTGAACTGTGGGCTGTGGTTGGGAAAGCAGAGGTGAATTGTGAACATAGATGCAGAGGTGCAACGTATAACGCAGCATACAGGCAGGGCTGGTGCTAGATTATTTTGCGCCATAGGCAAGACTTGGGCCCCCCAAAGAAAAAAAAAATTAAATTAAAAACCAGTAGAAAAATATTAAATCAACAAAGCATGAAACTGCTACATTTCTTTTAATTTTGATAATTAGGTGCCATAAGATGCCACCAGCATCAATATTAAAGATAAAAGCAGTGTCACAGATGGACAGTATCTGTGGCTGGCAGTGGCAGGGTGACAGTTGCAGTGAGTGGAGGATGATGGATCCACACTGACAGATCCGAGGCTGGAATTTCTGAACTGAGAACACCTGAACTGAGCGATCCCACACAGTGACAGATCTGACACAACACACCACCACCGACAAGGACACAGATCAGCAGGCTGTGGGATCGTGATGATGTCACTCATTGACACATTGCACATGTGATGGATGGCTGGCTGGATCACACTCACACAGACACGAGACATCAGAGTCAGACATTACCTTCCTCTGCAGGCACAGCTCTGCCTCCACTGATGAATGGGAAGAGAAGGGCTGGAACTCCACAGTGATCAGCATCCGCCAGCCGGCTTGCAGTAAAGGACTGAGTCTGAGAGGAATTCTGGAAGGAGCGGCAGCTCAGCTACTACACTGGCCCCAGACACCCAGCATCTTCCTCTGTCCTTTCTTCCTCCCCTCTGCTGACCTTCCCTCAGCTGAAGGATCATTCATGACATTGCGCCATTTCGCAGAAAGAGTGCCGGCCTGTGCTGTGTCCAGGCACTTCTAGATGGCAGTGCGCCCTAGGCGGCTGCCTAATTTGCCTAGTGGAAGCACCGGCCCTGCATACAGGATAGTCATTAGAAGAATGCAATGTACAAACAGCATACAGATTGTAGTGGAATTATGTAATGTACAGCACACATTACATGCTCTTGACCAAATTTTGTATGCTGGGTTTTGTAGTACATACATACATTTTATTGCTGTATTTGTATACTCATGGCTGTTGCACAATGTACTCTTGTCTGCACATTACATACCCCTGACATCTGCATTCTGTACATTATATACCCCTGACCCCTAAACTTTATATGCTATATTGTAATTACTGTACATATTGCTGACCAAAGTGTACATTGTCTCAACAGTTGCTGGTTGCTAAACAGTCTCCAACTATTTTAGTGAAGTTCTTAAAGGTAGGCTTAGACAAGGTACTAGTTCTCTGTCTATGTTCTGTGTGCAGAAAAAGCATATACAATGGAAGAATTTTAGTTTTTAAAAATGATTGTGCTGAGGTTTAAATGTGTCTGTGAAACTCCCAGGGGCATATACATTAAAGCATATATTATAGGAGTAAGGACTAATGTGGTATTTAATCACCTATGGGATTTTTATTTTTTCTTAAACAAATCAAAAACCACTGAAAATTTTGAAAAAAAAAACGTTTTTTTTTTCTTAGTTTTTGTTATACAATTTTGTAAATAAGTGATTTTTCTCCTTCACTGATGTGCGCTAATGAGGCTGCAGTGATGGGCACTGATAGGTGGCACTGATGGGCACTGATGAGGAGGCACTGGTAGGTTGCACTGATGGGCATTGACAGGCATCACTGATGGGCACTGAAAGGCAGCACTGATATATGGCACTGATAGGCAGCACTGACTGGCACTGATAGGCGGCACTGACTGGCACTGATGCACACTGATAGGCAACACTGACTGGCACTGATAGGTGGCACTGATTGGCAGCACTGATAGGTGGCACTGATTGGCATTGATAGTTGGCACTGACTGGCACTGATGGGTGACATTGAAATGCAGCTCAGATGGGCACTGATATGTGGCATTGATGTGCACTGGTATGCACTGATATGTGGCACTGATGGGCACTGACACATGGCACTGATGAGCACTGACAGGTGGCACTTCTGGGGCCACACTGATCATCAGGGCACACTGATGATCAGTGCCCTGATGATCAGTGTACATGACCCCTCCGCAGAAAGCCGATTACCGGCTCTCCTCTCCTCTCAAGCTGTCAGCGTGACAGCTCGAGAGGAGAGAAATGCCGATAACCGGCATTTCCGTGTTTACATGTGATCAGCTGTGATTGGACACAGCTGATCACATGACCGAGCCAACATCTTCAGCTCTTTCCTTGATCCGCTGTGTCTGAGGGACACAGCGCACCGGTGATCGCTGCACGCTCCCTGAACCGCGCATGCGCAGTGAGAATGGTAGGACGTCCTATCAGAACGAGAGAACCACCTTGCGCCCATCATTGTACTATAGGGCGGGGGAAGGTGGTTAAGTATAATTTTTTAGTTCAGAAAGCAATTCTCTTTACTTGTTTTCACTGCACCCCCGGATCAGAAGGGTTAGATCCGGCCCTGTTAGAGACTAAATTCTTCTAGTCTTCCACCACTTGCTCTGTTAAGAACTATGCAGGCACTGAAGAGCCAGAGATTGCGCCATCTGGCAGGACCTTCATCTCAGTTTGGTCTTGCTAAACCCTGAGCACATCAGTTCATGCCTTTTTAATTACTGTGGTCTAGGAATTCCCTTAATGTATACCAATAAAAGCTAACATCTTTTTGGAATTTACTCCACACCCTTTGGTTTAACCATATGTCTTCCAAAAAAGGCTATAGCTAAACACAGATTTTGAATGTATAATATGTCAGTCTCCCTAGTGCATTGGATCTAATGCAAGTCAGAGATTGTTCAATTTTCTTTCCTTCCACCATGGGTGGAAGGAAAGAAAATCACTTGATTACCCCATAAACACAGTCAGCGTTGATGGGGGGAATGCTTCCTGCAGCGCTATTGTATTCTGTCAATAGGGGGAAGGCACGGGTAGCATGCCCAGTTGGCAGGATACAGTGATTACTGCTATTGGATATCTCTGCTGACTGAAAATTCCAACAGGCTGGTTGTACCCAAGTTGATTGATTGGATTGACTTGGGTACAATCCGCCTGCCCATACATGGATCAAAATTTGGCCAGTTCAGTAGGGTCCCTACTGAACCGGTGGAATTTTGATCCATGTATGGCTAGCTTAAGTACTGTGGACCACAAACATGGTGACTTCATGTAACTTGATAGCTGCATAATACTTTTTGTCCTGGAAGGGTTTGTGGATGGAGGTACCATAGCACCCACCAGCTCAGTGCTGCCCACTGCCACCAATTACATCAGATTGTAGGCAGATGGCAAATGAGAACCCACATAATTTTCATGGAATGCAGTTTAAAAAAACACTACCGTGAAGTTGTGGGTTACCATTCAGCCTATCCATTTGGTGTTTTTAATTGGATTAATCTCATCTTCGCAAGTAAACTGTAGTATATGTCACTGAAGTTTTAGTAAGTTTAGAAGGCAACCATTTTAGCTTTCAACAGATTATAAAAACAAACATTATAGATATGCATACAGGTTCATTGAAATTATGGCTCGGTGACTAGAACCAGCAGATTAGCGTGTCCTATTGGCTGTTATGTCTTATACCCTTTTCCTTAAATCCTTGTCTCTGCATGGTCCCTGCTGAGCCTATGACCTTGATTCTATCTCATTTACATGGTGCATTTTTCATTCAGTGGAAATATCTCATTTCGGGACCTTTCCATCATTAACTGAATTTACAGCAATTTTCTCATGTGTTTTCTCCAAGGGATTCTGCTTTGAGATGCACATTAAATCTCCATTAATACCTCATTATCCCGCTGATACGATTACCACGATAATGAGGCAGAAATTCTAATTGTCCCTGGATCTTACTGTACAGTTCATATACCTGGCAAAGCATAGGCAAAAAATTAAATAAATAACTGTCATCCTTGTCTTACAATATCAAGTTATAATCTTAGCAAGATAGGACATAGGTTTATGAGACCCATAGAAAAAATCTGTAGTTTAAAACATAAGGTTACTGGACTTTTTAATCCAAAACATTGTGCAAGGGTGAGACCTAGTCATACTGTCCTGTTTTACATTAATGGTGACATGGGTTTACTTCTTTGTTCTTAATAGAAACACTTGGATGCCTTAACCCCGCTCTCTCTTTTTCCAGCTAATTATGGTGTCAAACATATACAGACAAGCTTACTCGGAAGTACAAAATGGAATGATTATGAGTAAAATACAGTAACCAATGCCAAGCAATCTGCTGGTTACTGTAATAGGTAAACTAACCACTGTCATAGGTTACTGCATTTTGGACTATCCAATATTAAAAAAAAAAAAAGTCCAGTTGAACTTCTTTCATGAAAAAATGTAATCTCAGACAAAATTACCATCCAATTGCTTTGTATAGACCTAACAAATAGGCTGATGCTAAAAGCCAAAATCTTATTCACAGTGCTGCCCATCTACATGTGGGTAAGTATGCTTGTGGTTCAAAAGAAAATGTATTCAATTGCTAGATGTGAGCAAAATCTCAAAATAGATTTGTTAATTTATTTAAAGTAAAACAGCAGGTCACACATCTGCCAGGTTTTTTTTTTTTTCCAACACTCATGTACCCTACTTGTTGGAGAGATTCCCCTTTATTTACTGTATCAGAGACTGGTGTTTCAATCCACTGATTAAATGGAGGTTGTTCTGCAAAATGCATTGTTTTTCTTTTTTAAAAAGTTGCATTCTCCTATTCTCTGTAAATACTTCAAAGACACTGTCAATTCAGGCCAAGGTTCAATAGAGCCTTGAAAGGCATGGTTGGTGTGGATTGAAAAGACTGGGACTTTGCCATGCTCAGTGTTTGAAATAAGGGGAGTACTGCAATTCTCCACAGGTTTTCCCCATTTTAACTTTTGTGTGATTGACATCCCTACGAACTTCTGGATATAGCCCAGGAAACACGGGATCAAAAGACCACTCCCTGCAAAAGTGTAAGTAAACCCATGGCACAGGTACAGGATTGGATATCTGCAGTCATGTCAATAGTTTGGGAACATATGCAGAAAGTCCAAGAGATAAAGGCCAGAGTTTATAACAGTCTGCTAAAATCAGAAGTCTTGTTTTTGGTGCCTTCTTTAGAGGGTGCATGTATAAGATAAGAGAAAAAAATCAATGATGTCAACTACAAGGTATATCAACCTAGAAGGAGAAAATCCCTCTGGATATACCATATATTTTATTAGATGTATAGAATCTAGTGACCAATAACCATACATCTGCTATTACTCACCTCTAGGTGGACATTGCTGTATGGAATGACCAATGTCACGAGACCAGATACTTAGCTTTGCATATGTAGCGTTCCCCCCCCCACTTGATAATTCTTGTCCCCAGTGGTTGCCCTGACCTTGCAAGTCTCCCGACACCTCTGACATTCTGGGTTCAGACATATTTCAATAGTATAGAATAATAATGTGTAACACCCTGCCATAATACTGGTTAAAGGATGTTAAATGGACACAGCATGACCGTGACCTACAGCCCAGTTATACAGACTCTGTTGAAAAGCTGTGTGGGATTTATAGGTTGATTACAGGACGTCATTGTCTGAGAGTGAGCTGCCAAACTACATTTCCCAGAAGAGCTGGCAGAGGAAAATAAATACAGAAGCCTTGGAACCCAAAGACAGGAAATGGACAGAGAGAGTCGAAGAACACGTGTGAGGAGAAGGCTGTTCTCTGCAGTGATCTCTGGAGCAGAAACCATGAGAATCGGGAGACCCCTGTCTACAGAGATACCATCCGCTACCGGACCAAGGCCACAGATTGGGTGAGAGTTCCATACTCAGGCCATCTGGGTTACAAAAGACATTACCAAATTCAGTTACTTTCTACCCAGTTTGGCTGGCATTGTTTCTCAAGTTACACTTGATAAGGCCCAGGTTGTTCAGCCTACTAGTCGGCCTAGTAGTTATTAGACGTTAAGCATTTTCAATCACAAGAGTCTACTGCAAAATCTGCCCTCTGCAGGTCAAACGGTATTATTGCTTCCATTACAGTCTGCTCCATTTGCCAAGAAGGGCCTTCATAGCTGCACTTTGCTACTGTGGTCCAAAGAAGAGCTAATCCCTACAGAAATGTTTGGCCATTTTTTAATATCTGCCTAATGTTACATCTTACCGTGTGTGTGTGTGTGTTAAAGGGGTACCATTCAAATGCAATATCATTTAAAGGGGCAGCTCCCTTCCTTTGTGTCACCCTGCTATTAAGAAACTTCTACCTTTGCCTCAAGGAAGATTTGGATCCTTATGAGAATCAACTAGGGCCCCAGCGAGTGCGCAGAAGATCAGTTACTGCAGTTAAAGGGACATTGGCCTATTTAATTGAAGAGCTATTCTTTCTTTAGAATCAAACCCAGCAACAAGCCACTGAAAGCCCAAAGTGAGTTAGCCCCTCTGTTTGAGTAAAAAAGAATACCACTGGGGAAGAAACCTCTCAGGACTGGGGCTACTGTTTAAATTCTGAATAGCAGGACATCTAGAACTAATTGAGATTGTGCTGTGTTGTGACCCATACTTGAGTTAGTAAGAGTGATAGCCATTATTTTCTGTACATATTTTCCTGCTGCTTTACTGTGCTTACATTTGATCTCAATACAACCATATCAGTTCACTCTAAACTGTGTGTGATTCTATTTTATGGCTTCAGCCAAAGGATTCTTCTGGCCAGAGGGAAACTGAAAATTGCTCAGCAGCCCCTGATGGGGTAGTGCTATAAATGCAAGAGACACAGTTCTTAGTAACACCTCTATATTGGACTTGTTCAAAAGAGTAGGCTACAGAAATAATGGGTTTAGGGTATACGGGGGGGGGGGGGGGTGGTGGAAATAATTATTTGAACCCCTGCAGATTTTGTAAGTTTGTCCACTTACAAAGAAATGAATGTTCTATCATAGTTGTATCTTACATGATAGGGACAGAATATCAACCAAAACTCCAGAAAAAAAACACAGGATACAAATGTTATAAATTGAGTTGCAGTTCAAGTAAGTAAAAATAAGTATTTGATCCCCAAGCAAAACATTATTATTATACAGGATTTACAGTATATAGCGCCAACAGTTTGCTCAGCGCTTTACAATAGAATGACTTAGTACTTGGTGGAGAAACCCTTGTTGGAAAGCACAAAGGTAAGACTTTTCTTGTAGCTGGTTACCAGGTTTGCACACATCTCAGGATGGATTTTGGTCCACTCCTCTTTACAGATCTTCTCTAAATCCTTAAGGTT